TATAGATGTGACCATATTAGGACATTCTATTGATTTTAATTGATTTTAGTTACTACATTTATTACTATACCTAACCTTACACATGACCATAATCTCACAGCATACATCTAAAACAGCATTGCTCAAACTTTTTCAGGCTGAGGACCATACAACACATTTAAATGTGCATTGTGTTGTAATTGTATCTTAAAGTCACAAGTTGTGTAACTAACCCTGAGAAACTGAAACACATTGCTGCAGACATGGATTGCTCCAATCATACAAATAATCCTGGCACTGTTTTTTCTCCACCGGCTTTTCATTTGAATGGCTCGATCTTAAGCTACTTATTCATTATTATTTTTAAACATAATCTGTTGGTAAGCAAACTGTATGTGTCACAGTGTCTCAAAAAAAAAACCCACTATTGTATACATGCAGTACCTTGTGGGTGACTAGGGGGCGCCCACAGACCAATATTTAGAGAAAGACTGCTCTAAACCTTATCTAAAACAGGTGTCCACCTTATTCTTGCCAGGTTTTGGTCCCCATAATGCATATAGGTCTTAAGCAACTTATTGAAATATCTCAAAAAAATCCTTACTAGGTTAATATAAATAAATACACATACACACATAGTACTTCCTGACATTTGTCCAGAATAGCTCTTTATGGGGTTATGGGGCTGAGTCAAATTAACTCGGCTTAGTCAAATGCCCCACGGGATGTCTCTGTTTGTCAGCACTGATGTTTCTTTGCCGAAACACCTGACGGACAGGTCGGACATGCTCAGTGGACCGCGAACAGCCGGGAGTTATTCCTAAATAAGACAGGCGGTGGGCTTTGGTTCCGGTTTGAAAGCCCTCGGAGAAGGGGCTATTCTTTCAAACGTTCAAGTGAGGAAAAGGGAAGAGTCTCCCTTGAGTAAAACGGTCACATAAAGTCTATGTACATTTTTTTTTTCAGTAATCTGTGTTATCTAATAATTAATTCAGACATTTTGATTGCAAGTTGTTACTGCACATTTTTGAGTTCAGGACACAGACACCTTTGGGTATTTAAAAATATTTGTAATCATGAGAGAAACAGACAATATAAAGAACACCACCCATTACCGATCCCTCATTAAGGTAATATACTTATTGAACTACAATTGGCAAGCTATGAGTGTAAAGTTGCTGACTATGGGCTGGCAACCAAAACAGATGAAGAAGGAACAATCTAATATCAGCTTGTTATACTTCAAAGTTAGACATTGAGTGCTTGCTGGTATCAAGCTATGTCAGGCTCCACAAATTCAAACCCTTGTGAGTTTCCTTTCCACTGTCCCTATGGGCTGACTCACTTTTAATGAGATGTTGGACGTTGAGGTGGCCAGAGTTCTCTTCGACTAACAAGATCAGTAAAAAGTGTTGCCCCCTTCCTCGCCTGATCCTTCTTACTGTTGGTTGGCCAACTGATAAAAAGCTACTACACTTTTCCAGGACATAAAAGATACATTTGTCGGCTTAGAAAAATTTCTGATTGCCAAAACAACTGACGGTATTGGTGTCAAAACTGAATGCAATCCACCTTTCACTCTAAATAAGGTGAACTACATTAAATAAATGACATGGTACAGTCAGGATTGTTGCATCCTGGGTTTTATGTACATCTTCCCCTCATGCATTCACACATTCACTGGTCAAAAATATGCATGTTGGTTTATATAGACTCAAAAAAGCCTTTAAGTCCATGTGTGCATGTAGCTTTATTAACTCTAAACTGGCACCACCTCAAAATGGTTAGATGGATAGATATGATTAATATAACAATAAAAATAATCTATAAAACTACAGTGGGAGAAATCACTGCTTTCTCATTTAAATTAAAGTTCATACAAAATATTTATTTCTGTTTTATGTAAATACAAAAATCTTAGAATTTCACAGTGAATGCCAGTTGTAATTTCCCTAATTTTTTTCTTTTATATATATATATATATATATATATATATATATATATATATATATATATATATATATATCCAGTCCAGCACATCACAGCAAAAAAAAAAAATATTTTTTTATATATATATGTAAAATAACATTATTTAACACAACAAAAACAAAAAAAAAATCCACACTGATGATTTTAGTTACAATTAAAATGCAAAATAAAATATCTAAATAAAATAAAGAATAAACAGCTTAATGGTATGAATTTATTTTATTTATTTTTTTAATTCCACGTGAATACTGTAGAACCATGACATTTTTACTCAAGGTTTTTATACCATAAACAAATAATCTAAAAAAAACAAATAAATAAAATCAATGAACTTTGCAACCAGCTGAATATGAGAACAAAAATTTAATATATGTTATGTTACATAATAGATTATGTTCTAATGCATATTTATGATATAACCAGTTTGGAGACTCCTTGACAGTGAGAACTGCTTACACACATTTACAATCACACACACACACGCACACACACACAGCCAGTGGAACAGATGAGTGCGCCTAGCTGTCCAGCCATTTGACTAGCTGTCACCAAGTTTAAAGTAGCCAATGAAGCAAGCAAGCAATACCTGTCACTTTCTGCATATTGTCAGCGTAAGCGGCTGAGAGTTACACTGACTGACACCTGAGCGGGATGTGAAGTGCGCATGTAGGGCAAAGCTTACAGGGCCCCTTTCTGCTGTAAAGCGGAGATACATGTCATGAATATGCAAACCCTATACTCACATACTTGGAGCAATCAGTGCATAGCACACATGCATTTGATCCATTTGAGCCCATTTTTGCACAATTCACATTGTAACACACACACACTGTAAGTTGTGTATACAGACGTGGCAACACCAGGAACACGTTGCTAAAGCAAAGGAGAAAAAGAAAACCCATAAAAAAACATCTTTGCAAGAAAATATTGATGTATTTTTACTTATTTATTTATTTATATTTTTTTCAAAATACACTTGTTTTATAAACTACCACATGCTTTAAACAGAAACTTCTGGGATTTTAAAATGCTAAACTTTGTGTTGTGATGTGACAAAATTCAATGGAAAGAAATAAACAAAATGAACCACTTAAATGATGATGGGAAGCATTTATATCTGCAGGAACATTCCTCAGTTCCTGGTGGGACGAGTTCAGATTCGTATTGTTTATAGAACATAATTGCGATACGCAACAGGTCACCGGCACCATGATCTTGGTGCAGCTGTGATGGTGACCGGGTGGGTCTGAGCAGTCCTATGCGCCGGTCTGACTAACTGCAGTCAGTAGCTATAAAACCTAAACAAAATGAGCTAAATTCTTCAAGCTGAAAGAAGACAATGTTTATTATCTTCTACTAGTGATAAAAAGTGACCCTTTATCTTCAACTAGAGGACTGGAGTCTCAATTAATGAGAGCCGTTCTTTGTTTTGCTACGACTTTGCTTACTTATAATCCTCTGCACGCACCAACACTGGTTATAATTTTGACTTCATTGAAATGCATATTTACATAATAGGTGAATACATACAAGACAGATTTTATATTTCATAAGAAATATATCACACCTCCAGCTCCAATTTAGACGCAGTTTAATTTCACAGATAACTCCATGACAAACATTTACAAGGCAGAAGCTCACAGCCTTACAGGAAAATACTAAACAATCTGAAAACTAAAATAGATATTTATAGCTAGGTAAGCTAGACAACAGCTCACTTTTGTCTGTGCACTTCTTCCGTCGTACCTGTTGACAGCTGATGCTTTGGAAAAGCGGGATTACTGCACAGTGACGTAAATGAACAGCCCTTCTCAACACACGGAAGTAATCAAGTTTGGGGACAATTTTCTGAAACTTTGAGTGTTGTTTTACTGCAAATGTTGCTGCTATTCAAATGACAATATCTTCTTTCCTTTTTTTTAGTGTTTGACATTGCTAAAAAGAATCCACACCTTGTGAATCTGTAAATAACTCAAGATGCCCCCGGGAGACGCACTTGTTCCTGGTTTTGTCGTGGCCGGCCACGTATAACAAATGGGTGTGAGTGCTCTGATTATAAACTCCATTGCAGGCAACATGTATTGCTTGTTGCCAGTCTCCACAGGCAGGCTCATTTTCTGTTTTGTCATTGCTCAAGACTGCAATTTATATTCATGCATGGGATTTTAGTTGGCTCCGATGTTTAACATATGACGGCTTCTGTGCTAATGTGCATGTGTGTGTGTGTGTGTGTGTGTGTGTGTGTGTGTGTGTGTGTGTGTGTGTGTGTGCATGTCAGCAGAAAGACATAAACACTGATGATTACCAAATCATGACAGATGCGTTAATGATGCCCCGTTGACAAATGCATAAAAAGCAGCTGCTTGCTGCGGTTTTTGTTGCCGAGTCACATTTAAAGAGATTTCCTAAATTGCCACAGTACAGACAGACAGACAAGTGACAGTTTGGACCGCAGTAATAACGAAGCTGGGGAACGAGAGGGTGTGATGCAAGTTTGTGCAGGGTGAGGAGGAAAAGAAGTGAAGATCGGAGGAGGAAGAGGCTCGGCTCAGTGGATATAAGGTGTGGATGAATGGATGGGCGGAGTTTTAACCAACACAAGCTGCAGCCTCCCATCTGCTGCCATCATTACCATTAAGAGTCTCTAATTTAAACTAATTGCAGCTGATGAGGAAGTAAACAAAGCACATAGAATTTGTGGGGTTTAAAAAGATGGCAGGAGAAAAAGCAAATTGTTTGGGAGGAATATTTGCGACTGTTGCTCAACGATTAACGCTCTCATTGGCAAATCAGGTCAACGACGGAGACTTAAGTCATTTTCCAAACGTCACAGAAACATATTGGGAAGTATCCACCTTCTATGACCTTCCCAATCAAAGCACTCAGTACTTTGATTGGCAAGCATGAATTACTGCTTGTTTGGCAAGAAAAAGAAGTGTTCAATCAAGTGAAATATACAAAATGGATCAATTGGAATTTATGTTTTTGTGAGAACTGGTTTGTACGTGAGCTCAATCGGCGTCCGAACTCACCGTGGTGGTTTTGACTCGGCCTCCTGGCTGTGTACAAGTCCATCCAGATTTATTGACTAACAGGTCGCAGCCTTCGTCCTCCAAACACGGGACCATCTCACACCACTGCCTTTTTCGAACAATCCCAGCTGCAGGAGGAGACAGAGGAAGAGCGGTTAAAGGAGAAACGGAGAAATGGCAGGCAGAAGCCTGCATGGAGAGGCAGCAATTAGGATAAAGAGGGTGACTTCAGGGGGAGACTGGTGCAAAAACATTGGAGGAATGATGGAAAGGTGGAGAAAAATGGGAAACATGAGTGGGTAGAAGGAAATAAAAGGATGCCAAGTGGAGAAGTCGCGAGGAAGAAAGGAGATGAAGAGCAATGAGGTAAAGAGACAATTGAGGAATACGAGGAATGACAGCAAGAGAAATGGGAAAAATAGCCAGACGGAAAAACAACATGGAGAAAGCCGATTCAGGTAAATAAAGTCAGTTAAATAAAATCAACCATCACAAATTGTATTTAGGAGGGTTTACGGTCTCTGTTTTCTTCAAAATATTTTACAGAAATAACATCACCAAGCAACAGGTACAGAGAGAATATGCAAGTCCACTCATAAAGGTTACTGTAAGTGTTTGAACGGGATCTTTTTGACAGTACCAGTAGTTAAAAATGACACATTTAAAGAAGTTTAAATCTGTAATTTGAACACTAGTTTTCATTCTTCCATTTTACATTTCTGAGAAAAAACAAAACAAAAAAACCCCCCCAACATGCATAACATCAGCCGTTCTCAGCCAAGAAAGTTGCCTTTCAACAAACACCTAAAGATTTATGGGCAGTAATTATACAAATCTGTGACCTTTTTCAAGTTCTGTATAAAGGGGTTTTATTTATTGCTTACGCATTAACAAATACTTGTTTCACACAGGACTAATAGAGACCTTAGGTCCGGCGGTCAAATAAAGTGAGAAAATAGTAAATTAATAATTTATACAGAGCAACAGTCTCACATTCAAAATCCTCCATGAAAACGATTTATTCAACAGCCAACCCGTTGAACCTAGTTTTATATGTTCGCTGAGTGTTTGCAGGGAACCAATGATTTTTAAAGCCATAAAATGGCAAAGGAAACAGTGAAAACGTTGTGCCCCTTTTTCATATCCAATAAAACATTCAGAAGTGTTGCACCACACTGCTCCTTTCACCGCCTGCTTCTTTTGTAACCGTCTGGAGATTGCCATGAGTTTGGGCCCCGAGCCTTTATTTTGCCGGCCATTGTCTCACTGCAGGCAGCGTGCATGAAATGAAAAGATAACATTCTGGTAGACTGTACTGAACCTGAAATCATCTCTACTTTGTCAAAGTCTGTCAAGATACCAACAGGGAACGAGAAAAAAAAAAGTCTGCTTTAATCACAACAAAAGACTTGGGGTACATTAGATAACACGTTTTTTTCTTTTAACAGTGAATAACGGCCTTCATTTCAAAAGTAAGAAAAAAAAATACAATGCTTAGACGACTGTGCAAATCCATCAATGGGTTGAGATTTGCACCTACATTTGCAATAGTAGCTAATCTATATGTGAAAATCGTATCTCATGCTCCTTAAACCACTTTTTCAGGAGCTGGAGAGGAGTGAAATTCTTACAAACACTTTTATTTATGTAAATTATAGTTCTAAAAATCTGAATTTGCTCAAGTTGGTAATTGTAGGTCAAAGTTGTAGAAAAATGGGAAACATGAGTGGGTAGAAGGAAATAAAAGGAAACAAAAAAGGAAACACATTGGAAACAAAAAAATCTTACTTTGTAAATCTCCACTGCTATTCTAACAGATGCAAAAACTATATCGACCAAAAATGGCAAATTTCTGTTCACAGTACTTAAAACATCCCAATAGTACTACAAACTAATTTTATATCTACAACAGTAAGCAATGTCAGACAGTGTTGAGTCCAAACGGTCAACAGGAAAGGAAAAACAAACTCCGCTGATTTGTTAAAAGCTAAAAATCAGGCCGAAAAGCAACATGAATGGATTTAACTGAAACAGCATGACTGCTGAATATGACCAAAGATAAAAAAGTAAACCCCAATTTCAAAGCAGCTCTTCAACAGTCTTTAAATACCTTCTCCAGCTGAGAGGCTATTACATATAAAAAATATCATTGTGTTTATGTAAGGCTGGGGGAGAAGAAAATGCAATATGCAGAATGTTGGCAGACTACAAGTTCACAGTAAAACTTTCCCTCTATTACATCCCGTAACCTTCAGACCACATATTGTAGCAGAACAAATGGTGATAACGCAAAGTATGAAAAGAATTCCTCATAAGTTCTGCGACATTAAAGCTCCCCACAGAGGTTTCATTGTAAACAAACATGATCATTTTTGCTCTACAAAAGCTCAACAGGGTTCATGAAAATTATGGCTGCAGGGCAAAAACCCATTAGAGAAAGTGAATTCAAGGGTCATTATGTACTGTATGTGGTATAATGAGGTGCTTTTTGGAATAATAAGAAAGTTTCTAAAGAAAACATATTTGACTACAGTCTTGTGTATAGATGGAATGGGTCAAATATTTAATACAAACACAAAACAGACATTAAGTAAAAGTCGAGGACTTAAGTGACAATGCAGGATGAACACAAGGCAATAAAACTACTCTACTTTGGGAAAAAATGTACATCCACGTAGCACTTCCATCCATTTCTTCATCCATCCTTTCATTCATTCATCCAAACATACATTTATCCAACCGGCCATCTTTTGTATAGTCTCTGGTTTTTGCCATTTTTGTATCCAACTAGTTGATAATGAAAATAAATGCATTTTGCTTAGAAAATTTAAAACATACCACAGACGTTTAGACAGTTCAGTTTGAGAAAGTATGGATTTTTGATGAATCTTCACTTAAAACATTATGCATGAGCAGTCACCTAAATTGGCAAGCCGGGCAAGTAGACACAACTTCAGGCGCGTTTCCATTGCAGATGTGCACAAATGTTTGACATTCGGCTAACACAATTTTGCCATCAAATTTAGAATTGCACAAGATTACGTGTCTTCAAGCTATTGGTCATTTAAAAACATGGCGTACCATCACCCTCCAAACACTTCGTCGTGTTGGTGAAGTATGCATCATGTATACTTTAAGCTCTTTCATAGTGATGGCGTTCTTACGCAGTATAAGTGAATAGTCTTCGCCTAACTTCCTATAAATTCAATCTAAGGGCACCTTCAACTTCTTTCATCACCCTGAATGCAAATGATTAGCGAGAGTGAAACTCAAAGCCATTATCTCTTCGCCGTAAACAATATGTATATCGCAATCAATCTGTTAAATATGCACACCCTCCCAAAAACTACTTGGCCGAATAATACATGTATCAAGTGCATTGTGTCAGCAGAGTACGGAAAGAGCTTTAAACTGACACCAACATGAAGCATTATTATTGTTGAGAGCATTTTGCTGACATGCTACTTGAGGTTGAATTACTTGGCGGTGCTGGGGTGGGTTGCCCTCAGGCTCGCTGCTCACAGAGAGCCAAACCCTTTTCTGCACTGAAGACATCAGAGCAAACACGCCCTACTTAAAGATAATCCTGTGTTTGGAAGAGTAACCTGCAAGTCATTGTTGTGCTTTACAGATTAGGTCATCAAATCAAAGTGCCCACTTCAGATTGCTAGTTTTTTTTTTCAGGATCCTTTAACATCCTTAAATATAATCTCTGTTCGGGTTCCAAATGCTGTTAGGCAAACTGCTTGTAATCACAGTCAACGTTTACAGGACACGATTAGCAAACTGGATGAAAAATAGGCCTCCATGGGGTTCATAATGGTCTCATTTTAATTTTCTATAGAGCATGGGTCTATAGCGTGCCACCCTGTCCTAGATGCGTAACTCAATTTGGGGGGAAATAAAAAAAATAAATAAAAAAAAGGCCAGATGTACGTAGGGAACTCAGCTAGTCTTTCTGATGCGGTTTGTGTTCAGTCATTCCACTTAAATCCCAAATTTGTTGAAATTACAGTTTTAAAATTGTATTTCTGTGAACAACGAACGCGTCTGGGATAAACGGTTGTTCTTCCTACTGACATGCAATTTAATTTCTACTGCTACAAAACATTTTCAAAATTAGAATCATTCTAGTTTGCGTGGGAAAATAGAATCATTAGCCTTAAACCAGTTGACTAGAAGTGGCAGTGCTGTGTTGTAATTTTAACCCCAATCATTTGTCTTCTGATATTAAATTGATTTCATATTTGATAGGATGACATAATCAGAATTTACAAAAAGGAAGTGGCCACATATTATTAATTTTTAAGCAAGCATGCGCTATTACAGAGAATGTTAAACTTACCAAACACATTAAAACCTTGTTTTTTCCACATTTCATTAGGGATATATAAAGCATCCATGTCCGCCAGAAATGAAAACAACATTCTATGACGAGCGCTACGCCACCAAAAATAAGTGACATCCGAGGTCAGGGATGAAACACATGGCTGTACAAACGGGAAAGGGAAGCAAAAATGCACAAAAGAAAGACTGAAAATACATCGCTGAAGTAAAAACCGGGAAGAGAAAGAGACAGAAGAAAAAAAACTTGTCAGGCGTAATAACCCAAAGTCCGAAAACATTTTCAAGAGGGTTTTTTTTTCTTTTCTTTCATTTGGTTATTCAATCTGTTGCTGTGAATTCATATTATGAAAGCTGTCAGCAAGGTCACTTATTCATTTCACTAACGGCTTTTGCTTCGCTTCTGAATTGCCATCCAGCAGGGGTGACCCTCAGCTGATGAAGATGTATAGCAATGCCTGGTAAACATCAGTAATGAGGGAATGAGTGCAGTGTGTACAGGCGGTATTGTCTGCACGTCTTGCGCTGCAAATGTCATTTTTGACATCGAGCCCTGCAAACTGACTCCATCAGCCGCGACAGCTGAGAGATATGTTATCACGGCTGCGTCAGATGAGATTTAATAAGGAGAGCGGCGCAGGCATTTCAAGCCGACGCGACGTAATACCAGTTGCTCTGAGAAGTGATTAATGGAGATTTGACCTGCTGGTATCGTAGCGTTTTTGACAATAACGGGGCCCAACTTGCAAACGTTCAAATCAAAAATTTCTCATTAGCAGAAGGT